GTTGGGTCCTTGTCGTTGGTCTTGTTTTCTACTATTACAATCACGAATAAAATGTCTAGTGCATCTACAATAATAACTGCCCCTTCACCTCCTTCTGTAACTGAATATTACCTACTATTAATTTAGATATCACTGTTACTCCATGCTATACACTTCCATTACTTAACACACCTCCTTTTAACACTCAAAATTTAATTGATCCTTTTGACTATTATATACAAAACCAAGACACTACTATTGTTAGACCTAACTCTCCTCAACGATTCAAGGAAATAAATTTACAACCTATTGCTGAAGAATAAAATCTTATTTTATCACCTATCCAACTAGAAAATCTAATAGATAATCAAGCTTTATGAGTTGCTGCACAAGCTATAAGTCTAACCCTAACTATGAGCCTAATCCTAACTATGAGCCTAACTCTAACTATGAGCCTAACTCTAACCATGAGCCTAACTCTAACTATGAGCCTAACCCTAACCATGAGCCTAACCCTAACTATGAGCCTAACCCTAACCATGAGCCTAACCCTAACTATGAGCCTAACTCTAACCATGAGCCTAACCCTAACCATGAGCCTAACCCTAACCATAAGCCTAACCCTAACTCTTATAACTGTTACAGATTTTTATAGGATGGAACTAAAGACCCCACTGAATGGTTAAAGGAATTTAGAAGAGCTGCTACCCCTAATAATTAGAGTGCTGTACAGAAGCTTCAACTTGCTTCTGTATACTTTAAGGGAGTTGCATTAGACTAGTACCAGGTTTTAAATCCACAACCTAATGCTTTCGATGATGATGAAAACCAGGACCAAAGTTTTCAGCATCTTTTTAAGGCTATTTCTACACCACCAAGCAAAAGGCTGTCTGGCAAAAACAGCTTTTCGATATTAAGCAAGGACCTACTGAAACTGTGAATAGATATGTTAACAGATTTTGTACATTACAAAAGAAAGTAGACCCAGACAATGTCTTTCCAGCTGACTTTGTTAAATAACTTTTCATTCAAAGCTTGCGCCCTGAGTATGCCATTAATGTTCAAGCTGCTGTTTCTAATATCTTGGATAATGCTATTAAAGTAGCCCTCCGGTGGGAAACTGGGAAATTAATGACTACTCCTCCTGCAAATATGGACCAAGCCATTCAACAACTTACAGACCAAATTGCTAAGCTTAATATTAACTTGGCCCAGACACAGACTACACCTACCTCTTCTGTTAATTATACCAACAACCATGCCCAAACTCCCCGAATGAAAGAGGCTCCTATTTGTTATTATTGTAGATGCACTAGACATTTTATTCGTGATTGTAATAGTAGAAAACAAGACCAACGACAAGGACCCAAC